GGAAGTGCCACGCGCGGTCGTGATGTGGGCATGGCTGAAGGTCATTTCCGGTGGTGATTCAGCTTTGTTGTTTGGTTATGTATGGCCAACGCAACAGTTGGTAGAACTTCTTTTTTTTCTTTTTCCTCTAAATAACAAATAACAGAAAATTTGGCAACAGAGGTAGTTACCGGAGAGGGCTGTAATGTTCCATTCCTGCCTGTTCATAACACCAAGCGGAGAAATAAAAGGCCAGAATAAAAGCAGGAGGAGGGAGCGTTTGCTAGGGGTTCCCGTGATTACGGCTCTGGTGGTAGACCTGGGGCCCGCGACACCTGCCTTGCAGCTGAGGCGCCTGGGCCGATGCTCTGAACTTGGTGTTTCAGCGCCGAGAGCGTTTTTATGGGCTTGTTATGGAGCTGTTAAAAAATGGTTGGGGGACAGCTTTAACTAAAGCTGTAACAGCTTTTACGTCTCGAGTTTTTTTTTATCAAAAGAGTAGTCATTGAAGTTCTAAAAACTTCTTGGAGAACTGTATTTTCCACTTACTTTCCGTTGACGTTAGTTGCTGTTAGTCAGCTCTGGTAGAACTATATCTTCTTGGAAAAGCCAGTGATTAATTTCACTGTTGGTGTCTGATGCAACGAGTTTATTTTCCTGCAAAGTCCGTGCCTGTCCTCGCTGACTCAGCTTTGCGGCGCGGCCCGGGGCAAGGTGGGGGCTCGCTGGCCGCGCACCAGCCGCCCGTTGGGCACCACCTCGCTGGCTCGTTCTTCCCTCGTGGATGTGGCTGCAAGCCCTTGCCCGAGTAATAGGCTGTTCGAGGTCATCATATCACAGCATGTGTTTTGTGAATTTTTGGTTAACTTTGGCTTACCAGAGCCTCAAGTTCAGATGTCTTATTTGTACTTGAGTAGCTGAGCTCTTGGACAACTGCCGCTGCTTGAGGACTTCAGTCTGGGCAGATGAACAGCCTGAACGGTATGCAATATTGGGTCAACGGCACGCTTAATTTCCACCGACTTCTTTTCCCGCTCTAAGAGGCAGCGATCCAGGTTGGTGGCAGGGCCGCCGCCGAAGGACACCCGCTTCTGCAATTTGTGTTAATGGCCGTTTTGAGAGCAGGCAGTTTTCCAAGACTCGTAAGTTAGTGAGCTGTAATTATAGTAAGATGCATGTTATAAATAATTCATACGTGGTGTTGTGTATGAACAGCGCTGGGTTTCTGCCCGTTCCACGGTTGCACGGCTGTGTAATGACTTGTTTGGATTTTGTCTCATATGATTGATGGTGCAAAATGTTGGCCAGGATATGAGTTGCTGTCAGGCTGCCTTGAAAATTGCTGTTCAAGTGGTGATTTCTTTCTCTCTCTGTCTTTTCCCTTGCCTGTTTGTCTAGTCTCGACAGACACCGGAGGGCGAGTTCCTCCCACTTGATCAGCTTGAACTGGATGTAGGTTTTAGCACTGGGGCCGATCAACTTTTCCTGGTGTCCCCGCTTACAATCTGCCATGTGATAGATGCCAAAAGCCCCTTCTATGACCTCTCCCAGCGGAGCATGCAAACAGAGCAGTTTGAGATTGTCGTCATCCTAGAGGGCATTGTGGAAACCACCGGTGAGTAGAAAACACAACTACGCGGCGAAGCGTGTGTGTCTCTGCAGCCCGTCAGTCACGTTCTGCACACTTAAGTTGTTTAAAATGAGGGTTTTTTTTTTTTTTTGAAAAATTTGGGAAGCTGGTGCGCTGGGGGCCCTGCGAGCTCTCCGTTGGCCGGCTGGCCAGCTCAGCGGCGTGGGCTGAGTCTCCGGGGCCGGGCTGCTCTCGCGACGCCTCGGCGGGGAACGGAGGCCGTGTCCTGGGGCGGCGCGCAGGGGGGCCCTGGGAGCCGGGGTCACACGCAGAAGCCCTTCTGCCGCATTTTCGGTTCATACGCTCGTGTCCCTGCGTGCCTGTTCTATGCTGCTTCTCGAATGTAGGCCGTAATCTCCTAGAACCCGATATTGCAGTATTTTAATAAATTCAGCCTAATACCCAGTGAGGCTGGTGAGAGCGGAATTGCATCGTTAGTGCTTTTCAAGAAAAACTCTTACTGATATTAGCATAACTTGCTTGTGTCAGGATTTCAAGGCTGGCACGCAGACCAGAGGACTCCAGTTCTTTTTAGCAGAATCATTTTCAAATATAAATGATGGAAGAAAAGCGATTTTGTAAATAACCCATTAGAATTTTAAAACAAGCTAGCGTCAGTTGTGTTTGTATCCTTTTGAATCTATTTTTGTAATGTTTCAGATTTAAACGTTATGCGCAGAGCAAAAAAACCAATTGGAAGTAGCTTCTGAATCTACAAATCCTAGCTCGTGCAAGGTTGCAGATGTTGTGACCTGGTTTTGTAAGATGAGGTGAATGTTGGATAGAATACAGCAAAATAAGTTCTGTCTTGATAAAACATGGAGGGATGGAAAGGGTTTTAAAGTTAAAAATTTCTTGAAAACAGTAAGTAACGAAGGAAGGAGGAGAGCTTCAGGAGGAAGGAGGAGAGCTTCAGGAGGAAGGAGGAGAGCTTCAGGAGGAAGGAGGAGAGCTTCAGGAGGAAGGAGGAGAGCTTCAGGAGGAAGGGGGAGAGCTTCAGGAGGAAAGGGAGCAGAACTGAGAGCCTGCCTTTTGAAAGCCAGTGAAGGCGCTGTCGGTGGCATTGGGGAGACAAAAAGGCCTTGCTTCACAGCTGGTGTCTGGCACATGGACTGGAGGGTGATTCTCAAGCTGCAGCACTTTTTGCTGATGTAAACTTACTGAGTCTGGTTCAGATAGAGGAGATAGGAACTGACATGAAGGAAGAGGCAGTCTTTTATATAAGATAGCCTTTCTTAAGAGAGCAGAGCTGGACGCTTAATAGGTTTAATACAAAATCTGGAGGGCTCGTTGGCACGCAGGGAGCACGGTGCCGAGCGTGCTACATGAAGTCAGGACCCGTCTCTGAATGCTGGTGCTCCCCCAGTAGATTCCTTATTATAATTTCCATCTCCTCTATCGTTCACGCTTAAACACAGAATGCACACAGCAAAGCTAAGGTCTCCTTCTTCTGGAAACATACAGTAATTTATGCACGCATAAATATGTAATTTGAATTTACAAATGTACGTATGTATCAAGAATAATGGGAAGCCTTTCATGTGGGTTACTTACCTGAATAGATCAGGTAGAATGAAATGGATTTAATTAAAGATGTAGTTTTCTAAGGAGTTAATCCTGATACTCTGTGAATTCTGAACACTGATGTTAGGCGGACTAAAATTCAGTAAAAAATAGGCACATCATTTAAAGCAAATCTAACGTGCCCCGTTGATGCCAAATGCTAGGCAAAATAGGTTCCTTGTATTTGTGGAAATAATATATTGCAGAAATCTTCCACCTAAGCTACCTTAATTTATGGTTTGCTTCTAATCGCCCACATTCCTCCCAGAGCAGAAGCAATAATTTGATGGGGATTCCTGGAGCATTATAAAATAAATTGCAGCTTGCGCTCTTGGATTTTTTTTTTTTTGGTAGAGAAAGCTTGTAGGAGGCTTAGTCTGTTGTGTTTCTTCATTCTGAGTGTAAAATGGAGTTAGCTAGTCTTGCTGTACAGTGTAAATGATGTAAGAAGTGCAATAAAAGTTTCAAATGTTTGCTGGCTTGGAAAGAATACTGAAACAGTGGACAAGAAATAACTTGCAGCTGGTTAGAGACCAGGGTGCGATTTTCTGTTAGGTGTAAAACTGATGCTTGTTATTTAGTTTGTCTGTGAAAGTCAGTGAGTAGGTCGTACGTTTGAAAAGGCCAGCTTTTCAAATGAATTTACATTGCGTGTAACTGAAGAAAGAGCTATGATGACATGGATATGTCTCATAGGAGCTGAGTGAATCCCGAGTAATCTGCATGTAGTTCAGAACAGTCTCGCTGATGATGAATATATGTAGACGGCTGGGAAGTAGGTTGGAGGAAGAGTAAAAAAACTGTAGTCGATTTGCAAATGAACCAGAGTTAGAGCTGTGAGTGTCTGAAGTCTGAACTGGATCTGGTCTGACTTGAGCTGGAGAGGGTTTCGGAGTTTATTTTGTGTCTGGTCCAGTCTGTCCCCAGAAAGAGCAGATAGAAGCCTGAACACGGCCAGAAGTTTAAATTACTTGCAGACGAATGGGACTTTTGTACTACAACTATCAACTCGACAAATCTGGTACTTCACATATTTGAAGAGTAGCTTTTTATGCTTTTATTAGTATTATCAGTTCATGTGCAGAAGTTATTGCTTGGCAAGACAAGCATAGTCCTGATTTTTTTTTCCCAGTTAAAAATAACAGTAATCTGAGTGTCTGTGGCACTCTGAACTTCAACATTAGCTCCAGCTGGTTCCGGCAGGAGCTCAGTGGAATCAAGAATGGAGTCACCACCTTCTGAAGGAAATGGTAGCGATGGCACAGCTTTTGATCTGTGTGTCACTCGCCAAAAGTTGTAGCAACCCCGGGAGCGTACAACCAGGGCCTGGGAGCAGTCGTGCTGCTGGTGGTGCTCGGTCGGGCAGTGGTCCTCCCTTCCACTGAGCCTTGTCAGCTTCCCCATCAAGATGGAGACCTTTCCTGGTGACTGCTGGCTTAGTCCTAGCTGTGTTGCATTATCTTTTAGTCCGGAAGTACAAGCACAATGTTGTGTTAATACTGTTGGAAGTGGTATTTCATTTGGTTTATGGGTGAAGCCTATGTAGAGGGAACAGCAACTCTGGAGAGCGAGTCTTTCGTACATCCATTTTCACTGGTGATTTTCTGTTGCAGGAGTAAAATAGATGTTTCCCGCAGGGTGAAGGCTCTCCTACCATTCTGCCCAGAAAACTGCCTTTATAGCGTATCTCCATTACCCTCCCATCAATTACCCTGCACGGAAAAAATCATCGGGAAACATTGTATGCCATTCATTTAAAAAAAAATCTGAAATTGAGTTGGATTTTAACATTTATAAGACTACATTTCAATATTAGAGGAGAGTGAAAATGGATGAATTTGTATAATTACACAGTCTTGGCATTTGGTTTCTTTCCTAAGGCAAGAGAGATCTAAAAGTCAAATTCAGTGATGCCCTTTGCTGTGTTACTGAATTTCCTTTGGCTCTCCTGCTGCCTGGATCTGTGTGCTGTGCTAGACCAAGGTAGTGTTCTCCATTAGGTAGTCTTCTGTGAAATACTACCTAGAAACTGCTTTTCTGAATTTAAAATTGCATTCTGATTTTAATGCTTCAATATGAAAACAGTTATTTTCACTCAAATTTCTTCATTCGTAAGTGGTGAAATCTGTACTGAGCAGAGTACTAGTTTTAGGAGTAAATTTCATCCAATATTAGATGTGGTTTTTGCTACTGTTTTGTGTCTACTGACTTGCCAAGTGAGTGCGGAGGATCTGATTAAAATAACATGGCTTCTGAACTTAGACAGTAAGCAACCTCATAGTACAGCCAATTTTCTAAAGTTGCTGTCTTATTTTCTTTTTTTATAAAATTGACTTGAAGAGCATCAATACCATGGAGATAAATTGTTTTTCAAGCCACAGAAATACAGTGCAAATGAATTGCGCTATTTACTTTCCATGGTGAAGTCCTTGCAATTTACTTTAGGTGAGCCGACCTTGCTAGGGTTGTGTCAGGCTCCCACCATGAATATCTGTTAATGCTACTCTGTCAGCATATTTAACAGAAAAGGCCTTGGTCTTCATCGGCTCTTCAACTTAGTGTGTTTAAATGGATATCTAGTACTTTTTGCTTACACTCAGGGTTAGCTTTTCAAGTAAATTATTTTCTCTGTGCGCCTGAAAAATGCTGTGAAATTGAGCTCAGGTCTACAGCATCCTTTGTTTAAAAAAAAAAAAAAAAAAAAAAGCAAAAAACCCTGAGATACTCACGTGCGTGTCCTGTGTCTTATGGAGGTCTGCTGGTCCCAGAGTTAAGAATTATACAGCAAACAAATAATATCACATAACAATAATATTTATGTTGTGACATACTCCAAGCATTTCTCTTTTTCTGTTCCTATTGACATGACAGAAATGGCCTCCAGTCTGAAATAGAATGAGGAAGAAAAGCATGTAAAAAGAACCGCAGAATGCTGGTTCTACCAAGACAAACTAAGAGATAATTAAAGTCACTGGAAGGGGCCAGTGGGGTTGATTCAGGTTTCTTAATGTTTTGTATTTTCAAATGTTTCAGCTTTTAATTATTTTATAAATCATGACTTTAAAAAGTGTTTAGTAGTATGGTCTCACTTCTACGTTCATGTGTGATCAGAGTCAGAAATGCAGCAGTCGAGCAGAGGAAGTTGCAGTCAGCCACACTGGCTGATACACGCGGGGGGTCTCAGAGCTGTAGCAGGAGCATGAGTCTTCCGTCTGTCCTGCCGAGATAGTGGCATATGAGATAGCATTTGGAAGGCATATCACCTCAGTTAATATTAAGCCAGGATAGCACAATTTTAGGGAAAATAATCTGAATTATTCTTTTTACTATGCCATTTTTCATGCTATGCTCATAAACGTGTCTGTCTTGTTCATTTTCAAGCCCTGAGGACTATGCCTTCGTCCAGCTCTTGGTCTGGTACA